TACTGAAGAAACCTGCAAAGCAAAAGGCACCGAGCCATCCGCATTTTTCCAGAAATCGCTTGGTATGCCATCTGGCCACTAGCCTTGCCGTTTTTTTTCTTTGATATCGCAGGCCATACTTCTGTTGTGATGAGTGGCCGGTCTTCAGATGGTCAGCTGATGAGATGGCTGTTTCAATACTGGAAGTGGACGACATTTCTTCGAAGTACTTCCATCATTTCTCATTTACCTTCTGTGGTCTTCTTAGCGTTTTTCCAAACTTGTCTTTGATATGGTAGTGTTCCATATGTTCTGCGGACTACTCTCCCTCTTATTCAGTATATTTCTTGCTCTCGCTCACAAGATTCCAATTTCTTGTACAGTTCTACTACGTACGCCTGTTTCGCTTTCTTGACACGCCTTTGCAGTGTTTCATTTTTAGATCCATCTGTCGATAACTTCCCGCGACTTATACGATTGCTTGTATGCCTGGCTCTTTTCCTTTATCACCATTTGAACCACGTTGTTCCACCACCAGATTTCTACTTAATTCTTCTTCTTCCTAACTTCGTACGACCCATCAAATGCTTGTTACCTGGAACGTTACGCTTCAAGGTTGACCATGATTGCTCTTGGTTTTTCACACAAAACCGGCAGGCCACGAGTTCCCTTTCAGTTTCCCCTACTTGATTAGCATTTACTGTTATTCATGGGTTTTCTCAAATTTTTAGGTCCAAAAGCAGCGGCTTATGCTGTATGCTAGTTTCACCAGGATAACTCTGCAATTCCTTATGTTCTCTAGGTTAGTTCGACGCACTGCCCAGTAGTCAACTGATGCTTGAGATCTCCATTTGAATACGTAATCAGGTGCTCATGTTTTTGGTGTAGTACGTTTTGACTAATGCTAGGATTTACGCGTAGAAAACTGGCAAGCTCAAGAAAGCGTTGCCTTCTTCATTGCATATTCGTAGTTCTCGTGACACTTTCCGCACTACTTCTTTTCTTCCACATGACCATTTAGGTCGGCTACAAGCAGGTACTCATCCTGTGGGGATGTGATTCGTTAAGTTCCTGCCAGAACATGTTCTTTTCCCTCCGCGCATCCGGATTGAGGAGCATAGGCGGTGACAACCCGAAGGATTTTTCTCCCAGCGTCAATCTTTATGCGCGTAAGTCGATCACTTGATCGGCCAACTGCAGTAGACTTCCTGAGACAGCGATATCTACATCTTTTCGACTGCTGCTTGCGCAGTAGAGGAGCTTGTACCCATCTCGAACATCGCGTGTCTTTCGCAGGCTAAATCCACTCGCCGCTCAAGAGATCCGTCATTTCTTAAAGTCGCTCAGTGAGGGTTCCGACATTGATGGAGCTAATCGGAGTGCTTGTAAGTTTTCAGAGAGTTGCCTCCGAACAGCAAGCATTCTTCCCCGTCTCCGCTCTTCACGGTGGCTGTTGGGCTCGTCGCTTCCGGGGGAAGTCCTAGCTTTTACTCTACAATCTCTACTACTGGACATCTTGGACGTCTAACTCATTTGCCCACTAGCTTAGTCAGTGAACGGCCGATAGTTAACCCAAAATCTTAGTGTTGCCCAAACCTAATGAACTAAATTCCGCTGATGAACCCATCTAACATTAAGAAATAGAAACTCTTCTTTAAATTCATCTGCAATCATCGAGGAGGACAAAAACAGCCCTAAGGTACATCCGGTGATAATCACAAGACATTAAAAAGCTGCACAGATCCAAGTTTATGTT